GGGACCCTGCAGGGGCGGCTCGAGACGAGAAGCCGGCCGCGGGCAGGGAACACCAGACCACCGCGGGGGCCCACGTGATGGAGTCAATCGCGACGTCGCTGCTCTTGCACCTTGAGGTTGTAATTACTTGTTTCTGCACCTCGGGATTGCCACGGCCCTCCTTTGGGGAGCGCAGCGCGGCAGCGACTCTGCTCGGCCGAGCACTCGACGATGCCCGCCCCCTCCGCGCAGCGCGCGCGCGCGCCGGCGGCAGGTGCACGGCGGCCCCCGCCGCCGCGGCGCTCGTCGCCGCGGTGCCCGCGCCCCCGGCCGCGGGGGAGCGGGGCGGGGGCGGGACGGCGGCGGCGGCGGCCGCGCCCAGCGAGGCAGAGGAGCCCCAACACGCGCCTTCTTTCTCCGCCGCCCGTGGCCGCCGCCGCCGCCTTCGTCGCCGTCGCTCGTCGTCGTCGTCGTCGTCGTCGTCGGTCGTCGTCGTCGTCGTCGTCGCTCGTCGTCGTCGTCGTCGTCGTCGTCGTCGTCGTCGTCGTCGTCGTCGTCGTCGTCACTCGTCTTCGTCGCTCGTCGTCGTCGCTCGTCGTCGTCGTCGTCGTCGCCGTCGTCGCCGTCGCCCTCCTGGGTTCGTTTTCCACCACCACCTGCCATAAGTTGGACGGGGGAAGGAGGTGCAGGATGAGGAGGAGGAGGAAGACAAAGAAGAAGAAGAAGAAGAAGAAGAAGAAGACGAGGAGGAGGAGGAGGAGGAGGATGAGGAGGACACCCCTCCCCCTCCTACTTATGGTGGTGGCGGTGGAAAGCGAACCCCCCACGCCTCGCGCCCGCGCTTCGCTCCCGCTGCCGCGCCCGCTGCCGCTCCCGCTGCCGCTGCCGCCTCCTCGAGGCACGCCGGGGCCGCGCCGCAGGGCGGCGCGGCCACCGCTCGGGGGCGGAGGGCAAGGGGAGGCCCCCGTGCGCAGGGGTGGCGCCGGGCTGTGGTCAGAAGAGGAAGAGGCGGCCAGGCACGATCTCGGGCCGGGCGAAAGTGGGGATTGGGAAAGGGGGGTTACGACATTTGCTGCATGCAGCTGGTTTCGGCCTCACCGAAGGGCCCATTCCTCGATACATGGCCGCCTCCGGCGCCGGGAAAATCAGCTACGTGAGCTGATTCTCAAACCCCCCCTTTGCTATCCCCCCCTTTCGCCCGACCCGACGATCGCGTCGTAGAAAATTCAGGACGGAGGTTTTTCCCCGTTTTCGGCCTCTGGGGGCCCTCGCCGGGTCTGGGGGCCGTCAAGGAAGGGCTCGAGGGCGAGAAACCGGTCCCGGGGAAAGGGTCCAGACTTCCAGGGACGCCGCCCTGAAAAACTCAGGACGTCACATGTCCGGGTGCCCGTGCCGCTACCCTTCCCGCGTGTTCCCCTTCTTTGGCCTCCCGGGGGGCTCTCGTCGCCACCGTTGGATTCGGTTTTCGAACCCCTGGTCGGAACGCTCCCCGGGAGAGGCCACGGGAGCAGCGGTATGGGTACACGTTGGTTTCCCCATGTGGGCTGGAAGCAGCGGTTGCTGGCGCGCGGGCAGGCCCTGCTCCTTCTCGGTGAGTTACGCTTCGCTGGGTGCAGCGCGGCAGATTTTTGCACGTTTCGCTGCGCCGCGTCGCGCGCAGCTCCCGCAGGCCGGCGCCTTGCCACGCGCCCGCAACTGCGCGCTGCGCCTGCTGCCCGCTCGTATATATATATATATATATATATATATATATATATGTGTATATATATATATATATATACAAGACTGCATTGGCGCTGCGCGCCATGCACCTTGGTCCTTTGGAATTCGTACGCTAGCGGAGTGCGAGCGTGCGTACATGCGCACACACATGCGTCTATGAATGCATAGTACATATGTACATATATATACACGTTTGTATGGATATGTACATGTATATGCAAATGGTCAGTGTAACTATGTGTGCGCATACACATGCGCATATCAGGCGGTAGTGGCCTGACCATTTGCTCATATCATCGCGCCACTAAAAGGCGCGAGGGTCTGAGGCAAACGTGGTCAGACTACCATGGAACAGTGCGTCGCCGAGGTCAGTGTTGCGAGGACGTCCCGGGTGAAAATGGCCTGAACACCTCCGCTCAGGGGAGGGCATATCCGGAGTCAGCCGTGCGAGGAAATTTCAAGCGAGGAGTGGTCTGAACACCTCTGCTCAGGGCATCCTTGAACTTAGAGTTGCGAGAAGTCGCACGCGAAAGTGGCCGAACCACCATGGTGCAAGGCACCTCCGAAGTGAGACGTGCGAGAGTGTCTCAGGCGACAGTGGCTGGAACACCTCAACTGAGAGTGTCTCGGGCCCCAGAGCTGCATGGATGTCTCAAGCGAAAACGGCGGGACCGATGCGAAGCAAAGCGCTTCTGAGGTCGGAGTTGCGAGCATATCTCTGGCGAAGCGGATTAGACTACTTTCCGTTATCTCCTCTTCCTCTTTCCCCTTTTCCTTTCCTTTCCTCCTCCTCCTCCTCCCCCTCCTCCTCCTTCTGTTCCTCCTCCTCTTCCTCTCCCCCCTCTCCGATTCTTTGTTTGTCCATTCTCCCCATCCATGGCGGCGCGGCGCGGTGCCGCTCGGCTTTTCTGCGAGTCAAGCGGCAAAGGGTGAGAGAACCCCCCCGAATTAGGAGCGGTTTTTCCCAAGCCGCCAAGGGGGCCCGAAAGTAGTGCAAGAAGAAATCCGGCGACGACGACGACGACGACGACGAGAAGCTCAGTCGAGGCGGGAGGAGGAACATGAAGAAGATGAGGAGAAGGAGGAGGAGGAAGAGGAGGAGGGTGAAGAGGAGGAATAGGATGAAGAGGACAGATTATGTGGATATCTGGGGCGCAGCCGAGGTGTCGCGGAAGAAATCCGCAGCAGAGACTTGGGAGAGTGAGGAGAGCTGCTTCTGCTAGACCTTTGGCGGGGCGGAACGTGAAACATCACGGGGATTTAGGAGAAGGAGGATGAGGAGGTAGAGGAGGAAGAGAATGAGGACGAGGAGGAGGAGCTCTTGGGTCCTTCGGTGGTTTGAACGAAAATTGGCCTCGCTGCGCCATTTGATACGACAACAACAACGACGACGAAGAAGGCGACGACAAAGAGAAGGGATAATGATAGGGGGGGAGCGCTGTGTTGGGATCTCGCGGTGCGCCTCTCGGGGCCCTCTGGGAGGCAGCTTTGAAGCCTCTTGGGGTGTTTTGGGGTTTTGGTATCTTTTTGGGGCCTCTTGGGGGCTCCTTGGGGCCTCTTGGGAGCCTCTGGGGGCCTCGTGGGGCCCTCTCCGGGCCTCTTGCGGCCCTCTCGCGGCGGAAAATTTAGTTTTTGAATTTGTGGGCGCCCCCGTGGTTCTCTCTTGGAGCCGTCTCGGTGCTCTTTTGGGCCGTCTTGGGCGCCTCTTGGGCGGTCTCGGAGCCCTCCTGGACCGTGTTGGGGCCTTCTTGGGGGCCTCTTGGGCAGTATCGGGGCGATCCAGGGAGCCTCTTGGGCCATTGTGGAGCGTCGGGAAGCGGGAAAAGCGAGAAGGCCAAAAACATAGAAAAACACACACAGGAGAATCAACAATTGTAGCCTCTCGGGGCTCTCTTGGGAGGCCCCTTGGGGGTCTCTGGGGGCGTCTTGGGCCGATATTTGGGTGTCTCGGGGCCCTCTTTGGCCGTCGTGTTTTTTTTTTTCGCGTCGCACTCCCAGGACAGACACGGAGCACTCTGCAAGAGCGCCCCAAAGGCTCGGGGAGGCCGAAATTCGTTTGGGGGGGGCACCGTGTGCCGTTATTCCGGGGTCCCCGGCCTTTATATATATATATATATATATATATATATATATATATGTATATATGTATGTATATATATATATATATATATATATATATAATACATATACACACGCAGAAAAAAAAACGGGGCTGGCGCCGCAGCTGTGGGTGTTCAAGTCCAGCCAATTCCATCAGGAATATACGATGTTTGACCTGTTTGTTCCAAGCTGCGTGCGCCATCAAGGCGCGCGCAAAGTCACGCGTTGCACACGCCTTCACTTCTACAGGGCGCGGCCTCGAGATCCTGGCGCCGATTTTTTCCGGGGCGGGCGTTTTTGCACGACGTCGGGGCCCGGGCCGTCACATGTCGATCTGGCTCGAGAAACATGCAGCATGCAGATGGGGCCCATGGGTTCGGGCCGTGATTTTTCAGCACGTTGCAAGTGTCCCGCGTCGGCGGATTTCACGGGGATGCAGCTGCTCGGACGGCGCGCCAACGGAGGCCCTGACTCTGGATCCACCGTATTGTGGATTGTGTCAAAAATGCCTCCCAAACGCTGCGAAAATGATGGGGCGGAGAATTCCGCTTCAGAAAAGTAGAGCGGAGATTTCAGCAAAGGTATGGCGGAACCCAACGACGGCAAAATAGGGCGGATATCGACATCAAAGGAGCTTGAAAAGTGGGGCGGGCATCGCCGCCCTACTTATGACATCGCCCCAAGTACAACGGATCTGGAGCCCAAATCGAGGATTGCAGGAGAGCGGCCTTAAACGACCCCCAGTTGTTCCCCAAGGCTCCAGCACGTGCGTTCAAGGCTGAACGCCACCGGCGGCCCACAGTTCTCGAGCGATCCTACGCTACGGTGGGAACTGAGAGCATGGGACAAGGAACCCTTAGATGAGGAATCCAGGATCAGGAAGCCGGTGGGGCTCCAATCGAGGACCGGCCATGCATACCGCCGCCGCCTTCATTTGATAAGGAATCCCCCAGGTTTTGAAGGCTCTTGGGCAATTACTAACCCGGCCCCCTCACCGTATTGGCCCGACCCCGGCTCTCATCTCCCGACCTTGACCCTGTGCAACTTCGCGAGTTCGTCGGATGTGCAACTTGCGCACGGCATGCGTGTTGGTCTTATTCGTCGTGAGTTGTCTCGCTGCGGTTGTCATTGCTTCACGTTCGCCACCGCCGTTGCTGGGCGGTCCGGCCCCCGCCCCGGCAGCACCCACGCAGGGCACGATGCAGGCCGATGTCGGGTGTCCGTGGGCCCCACCTTGGTGGGACGCCACGATTCCTCAAGGTCGAACCATCCACGCGGCGGCGGGAGCCGCCGCGCAGGCCGCCGCGCCGCGGCGGGCCCGCTGGAGAGAGGCAGCGCCGTGCTTGCCGCTGCGGGAGCTCTCCCGCGACGTGTGCCCGCGGCGATGCTTTCGCCTTGCAGGCGATGCTGCGATCCGGGCGGCCGCGGAGGCCACCTCCTCAGGCCCTCCCTCATAGAGACCAGGCCTTCCCGATAAGTCCGAGTAGAGAGGGTCCGGGCATCGCACCGCATCGCCGATACATCGGCGATGCGATTCGATGTGGAGGCCGCTTCTCTCCACGCCGACGTCGCCGATGCACCGCCGACGTCGCCGATACATCGATAATGCATCAGCGATGCGGCGCGATCCTCCAACCCCATCCACTCGAATATCATATAGGAGGTTTGTATAGAGCTCTTCCTGCCTTCTGCTTCTCCGGGCACGACCTCCTGGCATGTCCATCTTGTACGGCCTCCCGTTCCTCCACTTCCTCCATGAGAGCGGCAGCATATTCGAACGGCTTCCCTGCTCCCGCATCAAGACGCAGCGGGCCCTTCAGCACGGTATCCCCCTTGCTTTATACCTCTCTGAAGGTGCCTTCCCCGCGTCATCAAGACGCCGCGTGGCCGCTGGTTTCACCTGGGGGTGGAAGAGCTGCAGCGCGTGGTTTGGGCGCATGGTCGGGAGATTCTAAGCGCTTCCCCCCCCCTTGTGGAGGATGGCAGCCATTCGCACGTGGACGGGCGGGTGGGTGTGCGACACCCGTCTTCGCGACCCTGATCCCCGATGCACCAGGGGGCTGTGATGCCCCAGGCTCTGTCGCTCACTACGCGCGGAGCCCCGGGTTCCTTCCCCCGGGCGGCCCTGGCTGCTGGCACGCGCCGCTGCCGTGCTCGATGCTGCACTTGTTGGCCCTCTGCGTCCTTGCTCCCCTGCTCCGCTGCGGTTTGTCGCCACCCGGTCGGTGTCGCTCCCACCGCCTCCTCCACAGTGAGCGGAGAGGCCCAGGCGGCGGACGGGCGCCCTCAGGCTCCGAGGCGGCGGCCCTCGCCCCTCCCGCGGCGCGTCTCGCAGCTGACCTCCCAGGCAGAGCGGGGGCTCGTGGAGTGATGCTGGCTGGAGCTTCCCTGGGGACGCTGGCGGCGGCGCAGAGCCTCGTGTCCTCGTGTCCCCTCTCCCTTTCCTCCTCGTCCCCCTGTACTCTTCCTCCTCCTCGTCATCCTCTCCTCCTCCTCCTCCTCCTCCTCCTCCTCGTCCCCCTCGTCTGCCTCCTCCTCGTCCCCTCTCCTCTTCCTCCTCTTCTTCCTCCTCCTCGTCCTTCCTCCTCCTCGTCCCCCTCGTTTCGACGTGCGCCCACCCTGACCTCCCCCGTGGTACCCGTGATGGTTTACCCCAGGGTTGTGCCTGCGCATAGGAAGGGGAGGGGTAGGGGTCGTGGTCGTAGGCGCCGTGGAGGTGGGTTTGTCCGCGAAGGTGCGGCGGAGAATTGATTGTTGGTCCCCGAAGCTGGGCACCCCCCTTGGCTGCGCGCCGATGCGGGGCGCCACCTGGTTTTGGGCAGCGCAGGTGGTGCCCGACTGGCCACCTGTGTTGCGAACGAGGCCAGGCTGTGTGAGCAGCGCTCAGAGCTCATCGCTGTTGCTAGTCCCTCTAGCTGGACGTCCTGTGCGATGTTTTATTCTATTATCGTACAGCGTCCTCTTCCTCTTCCTCCTCCCCTCTCCTCTCTCCCTCCTCCTCCTCCTCCTCCACCTCCTTCTCGTCCGCCTGCAAGCCGAGCAAGCAGCACCTTCTCC